ACATCAGTGAAACATATTCTGACAAGCATAAAACTGCTATAAAAATGTTAATTATGTTTAGGCTCAGTGTGCAAACCACTCAATGTATAAAATAGCTTCAATAAAGCAGTGAAAGTCGGTAAAATAAATCTGTACAAAGTGAACACAGAAACAGCTGATCGAACGGTTTTCGACCTCCGGGCACTGCATGCGTCATATTATGACGTCATGCGATTGTTAGCACTTCAGGTTACCGTGGCAGCGGGTAATATGTTTTCCAGTTGTCACCCGCCTGGGAGGGTAACGTTGTCATTCTGGGGTAAATAGTCTATAACACATCCACACCACGTGTATTTTACAACAAAGTACTTGTCTGTCGGCCCAAAGGAAACGTTGTCATTCTGGGGTATATAGTCTAGTCTTACACATCCACACCCCATGTATTTTACTACATGTGCTTGTCTGTCCGCCCAACGGAAACGTTGTCATTCAGGGTAAATAGACTCGTCTAACACATCCATACCCCGTGTATTTTACTACATGCGCCCGTCTGTCCGCCCAAAGGTAACGTTGTCATTTTGGGGTAAATAGTTTCGTCTAACACATCCATACCCCGTGTATTTTACTACATGCGCCCGTCTGTCCGCCCAAAGGTAACGTTGTCATTTTGGGGTAAATAGTTTCGTCTAACACATCCATACCACGTGTATTTTACTACATGCGCCCGTCTGTCCGCCCAAAGGTAACGTTGTCATTTTGGGGTAAATAGTTTCGTCTAACACATCCATACCACGTGTATTTTACTACATGTGCCCGTCTGTCTTCCCAAAGGTAACGCTGTCATTCTGGGATAAATAGTTTCGTCTAACACATCCATAACACGTGTATTTTACTGCATGCGCCCGTCTGTCCGCCCAAAGGTAACGCTGTCATTTTGGGGAAAATAGTTTCGTCTAACACATCCATACCACGTGTATTTTACTACATGTGCCCGTCTGTCCGCCCAAAGGTAACGCTGTCATTCTGGGTAAATAGTCTCGTCTAACACATCCACATCCTATGTATTTTACTACATGTGCCCGTCTGTCTTCCCAAAGGTAACGCTGTCATTCTGGGATGAATAGTTTCGTCTAACACATCCATACCACGTGTATTTTACTGCATGCGCCCGTCTGTCCGCCCAAAGGTAACGCTGTCATTTTGGGGAAAATAGTTTCGTCTAACACATCCATACCACGTGTATTTTACTACATGCGCCCGTCTGTCCTCCCAAAGGTAACGCTGTCATTTTGGGGTAAATAGTCTCGTCTAACACATCCACATCCTATGTATTTTACTACATGTGCCCGTCTGTCCCCCCAAAGGTAACGCTGTCATTCTGGGTAAATAGTCTCGTCTAACACATCCACATCCTATGTATTTTACTACATGTGCCCGTCTGTCTTCCCAAAGGTAACGCTGTCATTCTGGGATGAATAGTTTCGTCTAACACATCCATAACACGTGTATTTTACTGCATGCGCCCGTCTGTCCGCCCAAAGGTAACGCTGTCATTTTGGGAAAATAGTTTCGTCTAACACATCCATACCATGTGTATTTTACTACATGCGCCCGTCTGTCCGCCCAAAGGTAACGCTGTCATTTTGGGGTAAAAGTTTCAACACATCCATAACACGTGTATTTTACTGCATGTGCCCGTCTGTCCGCCCAAAGGTAACGCTGTCATTCTGGGTAAATAGTCTCTGCCCAACACATCCATACCAATTTTACTGCATGTGCCCGTCTGTCTTCCCAAAGGTAACGCTGTCATTCTGGGTAAATAGTCTCGTCTAACACATCCACATCCTATGTATTTTACTACATGTGCCCGTCTGTCTTCCCAAAGGTAACGCTGTCATTCTGGGGTAAATAGTCTCGTCTAACACATCCATATCACGTGTATTTTACTACATGTGCCCGTCTGTCTGCCCAAAGGTAACGCTGTCATTCTGGGGTATATAGTCTCGTCTAACACATCCACATCCTATGTATTTTACTACATGTGCCCGTCTGTCTTCCCAAAGGTAACGCTGTCATTCTGGGTAAATAGTCTCGTCTAACACATCCACATCCTATGTATTTTACTACATGTGCCCGTCTGTCTTCCCAAAGGTAACGTTGTCATTCTTGGGATCACTCCACAGACACACTAAACTATAACGTTAGTATATATAGGCATAACATTCTGTCAAGAGTTAGGTATCAGTCATGCTAATGTGTCAGAGGGTTCTGTGTGGGATTTGGCTTTTATTAGACAGAGACCATGCGTAGAAAATGCAGTTTTGCAGGGATTTGACATTTCCATTTCAGCTTGTCTGTGGCAAATTAGCTATTAAATATATCAATAATTGTATGTTGTAGATAATGGTTCGCAATTAGTAATACTCATTTTCACATTAGCTGGCTTACAACACTTACTTTGTATCCCAATACATTACGACCTTTTGTCAATCACAAGCGGTGGTGGCGAGATCGATACAACCTATAGTTGAGATTGGTTCTGCAAATTGCTATCAACAATCATTCTATTAAATCTTTATTTCCGCTAGTGATTTCAGACCGAATCCTAGTGATAGATTGCAGCTATTTTGAACCATTGTTTGGTCACTTTGGGCGATGATTATGCCGGGTCAGTAGATGACATTCTGTCCCGAGAGGTCAGGATCTCCCATCGGCTTCTCGTAACACTTGTAGTCTATCTCGTTATTTACCAGAAGCCCACATATCAGAATTAATGAGAGGCTGGTCTGCATATATATTTAGTTCGTGCATACACCAGAGTCGCAGTTGTCTGGACAATGTTACCAAGGACTTATCATTACACTGGATGTTGTTGCCATGGACATTTCATTAGTCTGGGCGACATTGTAACCAAACACATTTCAATAGACTAGGGGTGCAACCAATGATCTTTCACATATACCGAACAGTGTTACCATGGACATTTTAATGCTCTTGTCCTTGTTACCATGGACATTTCAATAGTCTTGTAATTGGTATCATGGGCATTTCAATAGTCTTGTAATTGTAACCATTTACAATTCAGTAATTCTGTCCTTGTTACCGTGGACATTTCAATAGTGTTGTCATTGTTACCGTGGGCATTTTAATAATCTTGTCCTTGCTACCATGGCCATTTCAATAGTCCGGTCATTGCTACCATGGCCATCTCAATAGTCCGGTCATTGCTACCATGGACATTTCAATACCATAGTCCGGTCATTGCTACCATGGACATTTCAATAGTCTTGTCATTGCTACCATGGACATTTCAATAGTCTTGTCCGTGCTACCATGGACATTTCAATAGTCCTGTCATTGTTACCATGGACATTTCAAAAGTCTTGTCCTTGTTACCATTTACATTTCAGTAGTCTGGTCATTGGACATTTCCATGTCAATAGTCATGGTTTTTGATCGTGTGGACAGTGTTACCAAGGACATGTCAATAGTCCGGAAATTGTTACAAATGTCAGTCCTGAACGCTGCAACCAAATACACTTCATTAGACTGGGCAGTGTTACCGCAGACATCGGTATAATCTGAACATTGTAACCATCGTATTTCAAAAGTCTGGATACTTCATAAGTAGTGGCATCTTATGACTACAAACGGGTAACTAAAATAATCTCATTTGTCTGTTCTTGGAGAAGGAAACGGCATTGGTCTACTCTGGACCTTGATTAAAATATATCACCAATGAAGGATGAGCGTCTAAAAAGTCTTTATTCTAGACATTGTTAAGGGCGTCACGGACACATTAGCATTTGCTATAGTTGACATTCTAAGCATTCGTAGTTCGTTGGGCTTTGCTGCAGTGTTTTGATATATTCACTGGGGTAATGCCATCAGAATGAATTCCCTATGTAGACATTAGGTATCTGTCTCCTATGATGGAAAATAGTTTATTATGTCCGCTATGATAGGAAATCCTGATTGTCAACAATGTCGTCATTACGGGCGTTTTAACTGTCCATTAACCAGGATCTTGTTAATTTGACCAACAGCACGGCCCCCTGTCAATTTGGAAATCTTTTATTTGATCGTGTGGCTCCTCAATCATTTATCTAGACAATGCTTCTCTGGACAACACATAAAACCAGAACCGTATATCAACACGTTCACATATTTTAAAAATAATATTTTCATGCTTTAATACCCACGTGCTTATCTAGTAAGTAATGTTCTGAAAATTTAAATTTGACTACTTAATTTACATTTCAATCCCCAATCATTTAAATTTAGTTATTTGTCAAACTGGATGTGCTGATATGTAATGTCCATATTATAGAGGTTGTTCTGTTTCTGTCTGTGACTTGTACAATGCATACACATAGGTGGCGTGTATATTATACACCCAGAGCGGACATATTATACAATAGCATGAACACTATATACACATCCATATATAAACATATAATACACTTGAATATGTTATTCTATTTGGTTTAGACGTCTTAGGAGAACCGTGAACTAAACACATATCTGGGCATGACGCCTACGGTTGTCTTGTGAAGTACGTTTTAGTGTAGTCACAAGTATCTTGTGATATATAGATGTCAATATCACCTCAACGAAACATGTCAGCTATCAGGCCTTCAATGCGGATGTCCCTACACATAACCCTAGTGTACAGGAGGTTGTGTGACGAGTATGCAATAGGACATCTGTTGAAGTAATACACGAAAGCTCATTTTATACATACAAAAGGATCCAGTAATTCCTGATGATTGAACATCACATTCACTCCACTAAATGGCTGTAGACAGGCAATAGACATGTGTTGGACGGAGTAAAGCGAGACATTACATACAGAACGCCGCTCGGCTATCGCTGCTCGGGAGTCGGCCGCTGTACGCTAGAGTACACACACGGTACTCGCGCTGATTTCTATTGGTCACTTATTTCATTCATGCTTCGCTCGAGGAGGCGGGGCGGTGTGACGTCATCAAGATCGCCTATAAATCGCCGGCCATTGGCGGTGAGAATCAATATAGAAAAGCGAAGCCGACGGAATCAGGAAAGGACCCATCGTGAGATACCGCAGTGCCTAAACAAAACATAGGTGACTTGTTCTCGGACTAAGATTGATAACTCTCAAGGTAAGTTGAACACGTGGTGATGGTGTTGCTGTTGCTGTTTGATCAAGACATATTAAAGCCAAGTACCATATATTGATCAATACCAAACTCGATTGTTGATATATTTTCTCATTTACATGCTTCCATGTAATATTCGATATTTGTCAGCATTTCATACTGGTTTTGTATACATTTATTGTTACATTCTATAACACAAATACACACGTCTAGATGCTTTTTGTTCCTTGTTTTACACAATTAAGAACCAAATGGATCAGTTTAAAAAAATGCATATTGGGTAAAATAGTCAAAGGAATTTTTATATATTACAGATTGAAAGTTCTTAAAAGAAAATGGCCAACTTAAGGCGGTTGTTGATGTTAGCAGTATCAGTGGCTTTGTTCTCTTGTGTATCGTCCGCATTTCTTAAGGTGAGTTTTAGAAATGTTTCAGTCATGTTGAAATATTGATTTTTCTCATATTCACGCATTCAGCTAACTTTGTGTAGAAAATGGTTTGAAGTATATTGATGTGATCATATTTACATTGACTTTTCCTTTTAAGACGCTAGCAATAGGACTGATATATATTTTCTGAGCACTTAACAAGAACATTCTGGATGAGAGCATTAGATATGTTTAAACGTGTGGTACAAGATTATAAAAAGACATTAAAAACGATTTAACTAATATTCAAAGTGTTTCAAAATATTCCATTTTTAATATTATCCCGGGGTCTATGAGATATATTAACAAAAAACAAACCCAGCGTAGGCTTTGTGTATGTATACAAGGAGACGGCGTCTGCTGAGTAATGCCTAATTATAGCAATGACGGTACTAGATAAAAGGTCGAAAAAATAGCCATTTTTTGTTCCATTAAATCAACACAGGCAACGTGTGATAAGGCATAGTGTGAGGGTTGAGACGTGTGTAGATTTCATCATCCTTCTGACGTGGCTTAATGGCTTAAAGGAGGGACTTCCCCTTATGCAGCCCCCTCCCCCCACCGAAAGACCACGTGACTGTGCTTGACCCCGAAAAGGTCACGTCTCGTGCGTCTAAACTACCACCGACTGGAATATTCCAGTTATTTTTTTAAATTAGCTACGAAATAAGGTGTTCATTTAAAATTGTGTATAACCTTTGTAACATATATACCATAGTCATATATTAAATGGTTTGAATAGATGTAATGGCGCTGTGATTACTACAAAGTAATTTATTCTAATAATGAGATTACAACTTCCCTGAGATAACTGACAATTATTGCAAGTATTTGCTCTCAGAAATTGCTATTCACAAAATCAGAGTGGGTGGTTTATTCATTATATTGATGATCAAATTCATTTAAGTTTCAAAGCACTTTAATCAGCATTTTCTAAAGGACAATAGTGTCTTCGTATGATCTATCATGTATAATCAGATATGATATATGAGATCCATAAATGTGGCATGTCTTCATTATCAAATATTCTTTTTTGAATTTAGGTTATTTGTAAACAACAAATCATTAACAGTTATGTAATACGCCTTTAGACACTCTGGTTTGATTTTGAACGGAATAGTACCATATCAATTCCATAAAGTAATGCAAACATTATTATAGTATGTGGGAATTATATTCAGCAATATTAAACTCATTTGCGTGGGAATTTAAATCTGTCAAAAGAGCAGTGTCATTGTCCAAGACAAATTCAAACAGTCATAGTTCTTTGGAAACTCGTGGAAACGGAGCTTTAACTACTGATATGGCTCGTGGGACGCTTGTTTTTAAGCGGGCGGGTATTAACCGTCCTCGCCTCTCACTCCCAACAGCGCAATCCCTACAGGTGTGACCACAACCAGGCGAGCCGTCTAAATGTGTCCCACTGAACTCCCGTTCTACTGGCCCGATAGGCATGCGTCCAAGTTGATTATGACGTCATGATATTAGGCGCGCATAGATCATACCCTCCTCCTTGAATGTTGTCAATAACACAGGCGGTGCGGCAATGGGGATACATACATGTTATGTTGTAGCGGTGGAAGTCGGCGTGGTGTTTGAACATAGCGCAGATATGGGGCTTGTAGAAGGCCGAGACGTGCGACTAACCGCATTCCGCTGCGTCTGGGGGTAGCCTGCACTTGAGTATAAGATTTCAACCAAGTCAGGAAGCTGTCTCCGGAGTTCAATCCATATCTAAAACCTCGGAATTCTTTTTAAAGTTTTAAACCGCTACAGGACAAATATCGAATAGTGTAACACATGTATGAATGGTATTGCTAGAAACAGCCTTAAGTGAATATTTTGCCAAAGAAGTACTGACCACTGTATAAAAAAACAAAACAAATTGAAAACGAATCACCTTCAAATGTGTTTTGTAAAAAGTGAAAACCTTCAAATGCGTTAAGTAAAAAGTGAAAACCTTCAAATGCGTTAAGTAAAAAGTGAAAACCTTCAAATGCGTTACGTAAAAGATGAAAACTTATATAATATGTCTAGTGCAATAGTGGAGCGCCACATTAAAGGATATATGTATATCATGTAATGGTTATACATAGTATTGTATGTATTGTAAGTAAACTGTAAGGAGTAAGATGTAAAATACACATAAAAAGATATACTATTTGAATAAATTTGATTAAAAATCATACAAACACACGCACAGGCAAGTCAATTGTTGGAATAGTAAAAAAGAAGACAACATATCGTTAAGGTCAAAATATAGTGATTTCCACATGTAAATAGCATAATGAACTATTGCATATGTGGCATGGTGGCCACATTTCTGAATAGTAATACCATAAAAAATAATTTCCAAAATTTCTACATATTTTTGTTGTGTACCGTGAGCAGAATGGCTGAGCATAATGTTTATTTGATCGCAAGTCATATCAATATTAGATCCTGACTCTTAAATGACGTCACATGCAAACATCCCAGGGTCCCTGGTTCGATAATATCCTTCCTTGATACAGCACTCTAACGCTTTATATGAGGACGTTTCATTGTTCTCCTCAACCGGATTTACAATTTAACTACATTTTCCAGAAATAGATGTATTACAAATTTAACTACATTTACCAGAAATAGATGTAAAGTATATGTTCCTATGAACGAGGTATTGTGAACGATCGTGCTCTGGTCAAAAAACTTAACGTATCTGTGTATAATATATCTCTTCATCGAGAGATGGCCTTTACTAAACTGCTTGTAGATCACTAACAGTGTCTATTGTGGGGACGTTCATACACAGAGATATTGTAAAAGCCTCCTACACACGGATGTAGACGGGAAGAATACACGACTTAAGACCGTCATTATGGCGATAGCTTAACACGATCTACAAGCGAATGAATGGCTGCTTCACCATAGATGAAGTCAACCCTTACCCGTTCAACGCCCACACGGTTTAAGAGATCTTTAAGATTAGTGTATGAACGTAAGCATATCCACCATAAAGCTCTGATAAATAACATATCTTATATTTAAATCGGCTATCAGATGTATACGTTTATGATGCGTTTTACCTTGTACGATTTGAAAATTTAACAACTGTTTTATTTTGTTGCAGAGTTTAAAACACAAAAGCCTTTTGAACAGAAAACATAATTCAGCAGGTACGTTGATTTGTACATTGTGTTCTTTCATTTGCAATATTCCTGTGTGTACTATTTGTACTCCAAAATTCACCACTTGGACTGAGATTTAAATCTTACTTATTATAACTTCAGTGCATTTTGGAATTGGTATATTGCATTAGTAAATGTTTAGTTCTGGTTTATGTATTATATTATTATAATATATTTATTTAAAATATACCAATTGTCATTCTATTATTCAAGTTGCGAAGTTTCAACTTCCATTACAATTGATTACATTGTACGTGAGTGAGATGGTTCAGAACCGCACTGAATAATATGCCAGTTTGAAAAAAACACCCAACAACGAATATGTTGCTGATACACGTACAAACGTGGTTCTAAGTTATTGTCATAGACGTAAAACGACTGGGTCACCCGTTCACCATGAATCATTTTACTTTATTGTTTTTCAGTGTCCAAAAGGCACGAATCTGATGATTCAGGGCCTAAGCTGTTTTTTAAGGGCCGTCCATTGAGACCCACCACGCGGGTGACAAGGCGTCATGGTACTGTTCTGGAATGCGAAGCTGGAGGTAGTCCCGGTCCCACCATCCACTGGCTCAAGGATGGGGAAAGGATAGATCAGGTGAGCGACAGTACCATTCACAGGACGTCATGTCCACCTTACATAGGGGGCGGTTGGATAGCCCAGTGGTTAAAGCGTTCGCTCGTCACGCTGAAAACCCGGGGTCGATTCCGTACATGGGTACAATCGAACCCCCTCCCCCTTTTGAGAATGACTAAAGACCACATTGAAGTTAATGTTTAGCATTGGCGGAGGGGTATGTGGTGCAGGGTTCGAACCTTCCCTTTGAAAATTCCTGGATCCGCCTATGCTATGCTATAGTGTACCTTCCTATTACTGCTTAGTCAGCTGAACATAGAAAGGAAGGCTTTTCAGAATTAATTTGTATTATTTGATATATTTGTAGCACATGTCATATTAAGCTCTGTGCTTTGAAATAACATATAAGAAAATGTTCATTAATGGGTTTGGAAATTAATAGTTTGCTTGCGTGTGGAGCATTTTTTAATTCATTGATCAAAAGCCAGAAATATTACAACATATTAAATTTGTGTTTAAAAGCTCAGTGCCAGAAAAAACTCATTTGGTCCGTTGGGAAGCTAGATAATCAGATTTCGTTACTGATGGCGACGAGTTTGACAAGATGATTTCATGTTGTGTAACATGAAGGTCTAACCGGTTATTACATTATAGATCACATAGGCGACACGTGTATGAATTAAATGTCTTCAGAGGTTTTGTGGCGAGTAAAACTGAAGACACTACCACTTAATTGTCATTTTCGATCCTAAATCAGATAATTACTAGTTCAGGAAAAAGTAGGCGAACCATCAGAAGTAATGTGTTGCAATATTTGATATGAATATGAAAGGCTCTAAAGATATGATAGACGGACTTGTGTTTAATATCCGCGGGAGCCCCCTGCATATACAGGATAACTATGGTCTTAAGACAACGCGATGCGGAGGATTGACAAAATGGAAATGCCTTGCAGTCTAAGAGCAAGAGCCGAACTTCGATGAAACTCCACATGCTTGTGACCTCGGGGGCATCCCATGGTTTTCTGTCCTGTTACTGGATTAATTCTCCCTGTGGGCGCCCGCTGTATTTTCTTTCTAAATTAACGGCTGGGATTCCAAGTTTCGCAAAGTCTGTTTCAGTGACTTACAAAGGATTACTCGGAAATGTTCCTTCACGTACTAGGAACCACTGTATCCAACTATCACGGTTGATCTCAACATAACATTTGATCAAGGGGGATAACTTACACTGAAAAGCACCTGCTTACCAACGGCATAAACAACGATTATGTCTCTTTCTGACCAAGTCTCTATATGGCTGAAATATTACCGATGTGACGTTAACTTTTAATTAACTGTTTGACATATACTGTTAACTTTGACGTTATCGATATTCTGATCTTTTCAGGGGATGTTCCAAAATTACCGAGACGAAGAAGCCTCATTTGAAGATACGATAGGGAAGGATGGTCTCCCTTTGTTACGCCTGTCCACAACAAGGTCAAAGTTATACATTGAATGTATTAGCCCTGAAACTGAGGGAAAATACACATGCGTTGCTGAAACACCATACGACAGAATAAGCCAGTCCACAACAATTAAAGTCAGTAAGTATATAATCGGAGTTCCTATCTGGTCAAGAAAAATCCTTCCAGAAAAGAATGATTTTGACAAAATTAAAACTATTTCTTTTAGAAAATATTGTAAATACTAATTTCTTTTTTCAAAGCATCTCAACCTTTGGTGGGAATTGTTGACAAAGTGAGGTTGTTAAATTAAAACAAAAGAAAAGAAAGAACAACAAAAACAAAAGACAAATATAAGCGTTTCAGCGTATCAGCGTATATTACAACCGAGGCATATAGTGTTGTTTGTCGACATACCTGTAGTGGCAATGGCAAACTTTGGTTTGAACAGTATGCTTAACATTTTCTCTTTTTTTCCAGTTTCTCGAGATATTGGATCATTTAATGAATGCGTGTTAAAGAAATCTATAAAGGGTAAGTTTGTTATGCTGACTTCATAATACTAAAAGACATCAAATAATCGTAACGACATGACTAAGCTACTTACATCATGATGATCAACATCATATATTCTCTTTGGTAAACTGATGCATCGACATATATAACAATGGCTGTAGATAATATGTTATTGATAATATTAACGATATCCTATTACAAAATACTGGTGGAAAATATAAATAAAGACATGAATGACTGAATATTTTCAGGTGAAAAAGCCCGGGTATACCTGTGGACTGCCACACGTGTAGAGTTCCAGGACAACAGCGTCCAGTTATTCTGCAGAGCATCAGGATCTCCAACACCAAGACTTACGTGGTATGATGCCGAAGGAGAGCCCATCGAGCCTGGACACAAATACGAGGTGAGCATCGTTTCCTCACTCCATTAAGGAGCCGTGTCAAAGCGTTTCGATTTCGAAGATGCGGTTCGATTCCCCACATCGGTACAATGTGTGAAGCCCATTTCTTGTGTCCTCCGCTGTGATATTGCTGGAATATTGCTAAAAGCGGCGTAAAACCATACTCACAGACGCTACTAAACACTCGTCTAGACTTTCAGGAAATGAAACAATCCACGGCGGTAGTAATAACATAATCGAGTTGCAATTGGGGAGATTGTTTTGTTTGCGTGGTGCAAAAAGTCAAAACATGAGCCTCTAAGGTTGTGACACTGGCATACTCACGAACCTGTTGTGATCGCGGGACGATTGTTTTGTCTACGTTTCTACCAATAGTCATTACAGTCAAAACAAAATAGTCAGGTTGACATCGCGAGTTACATTGGCATCGAGTCACCACTCATTGACGTTTTGTTGAAGTTCTTCCACAACTAGTCCAACTAATTAGTGTTCCCGAACGCGAGCAGAATGGTCCTATTTTTGACGTGACACTTAATATACATTACTTTGGCCCCGACCTGTCGCGCATATGTTTGTATGTCGACGTGGGCACAATTTATCATCATCATCATTATTATTATTCCAGATTGCTGAAAATGGAGATCTTATCATAAAGAACATCAACTGGTTCGATATGGGCGTGTACACATGCATGGCATCAAACAAACATGGCGAGGATGCGATAGATACTTTCTTATATCCCGTAAGTATATATTTGCTGTTCCCAGCCATTAACCATCACTTTGGCTTTACGATCCATTCTAACACATACCGAGATGTTAAATTTACAGTAATTTGTTTTCAAAAGACGGTTTAGGTAGCCAAATTGGAATTATCAAGCACCAAATAAAATTTCATCTGATATCAGTTCGCCTTGTCAAAACATATTCTTGGGAAATTGCTAGTTTGGTGATGGGGTAGCTAATTGGGTGAGGAGTGGAGGACAGGACGATGACTGGGATTTGGTTCCCCAATGCGTGGAACCATATTTAATTGTTGTTTGTGCCGTGCCTATGCTGGTCCCATTCGATTCGTCTCTGAACCCAACACATTTAGTTATTCTAATCTGTCTTGGCTTCAGACGTTCCGGGACGATGAGGAAGAGATGCTACCACCAGTGTAGGCTACCTTTGAGGTGTCCCAGGTCTCTACCCAGCAACTTCAAGGTGTGCGATCGCTCACAGAGGAAGGAGGTGCTCTGCGCATGCGCAGCAAGGAAGGAGGAGTTTTTAGTTTCCGGTTCTTTATGAGGTCCATTTTGTTGACAACGCTCGCGGCGCCAAGTCGCAGTGCGGTACTGTATTCCATCACCGGTCTCAATGCAATCTTCAGATCCATGCTATCTGTAGTGACGCCATGTCCCATTCATTGTTACCTGCCTAACAACCAGAAATGACTTTGTGTGGAGGTTTCATGCTAATTTATTTATTTATTTGATACTTGTGTTCACTGTTTTGGTTAACTGTCTCCTATGTTGAATATTTTCACAACAAAAAAGTCTATTTATTTTTTGATGGATGAGGACGAGGAGAAAGAGAATAAATTTTATGCAAATTATGTATATACCTACTCTCTGTTGTTTTGTTTTGCCAAGTAGTTGGGGAGCAACCATTTTATTTTCAGAGATGCGAATGGGGAGAAGGGAATGCAGGACCTTTGCTAAAAGAATTATTGTGAACACAATAATATGCCAGCAATTATTAAAAAAATGCCCTTTTCGTACAAATGAAATGTCCCAAGACGAGAGTTCGTTATTTGTATGCATTTATCCAAAATCATACTTACGCTCCTGTTTGTGTTGGAAAAACATCTTGTTCATCCTCTTAAAGTAACATTCTACACCCTCCTCTTGAAAATTAAATGGTTGCTCTCGTGAAACTAATTATGGTTCAGATTACGGATTAAGTTTCCTTGAGCCACTGTTGAATATATATTGTTGTAAGTTGTCTATGTTGAGGAGAGTTCCATGATTAAAGTGAACAGAGGCATGGAATGTTGCAACAAGTTACAGGTTACAGAACTGTTTAAAGTGTTACAGATATCTGACAGATTCTAAGACAAATAAATGAACTTATCTTTGTATTTCCGAGTTCCGCTGAATTTGTCCTATTTGTTGGCCATGTACTGGGCCTTGTATCATGACATACGCGAAGTAACGCTAAAGGTTGACTATATGGGCTATCGTCTGATTGCCGTTTTCAGTCTTGGTCTAGACAGTGTGATAAGTGTCTTGTTAGTGCCAGAATCATTGTTTCTGTGAAATAATCTCATTAACTAATATTTACATACACAACTCAACATTCGATAGGAACAATTCGACAATTTTGGAATGCATGTCATCTGCATGCATTTTGATATACTCTTGATATATTCTGAAATTCACATTTGTCACACAGAGAGATGAAAAATATTCCTATGAAAAGTTGAGTAGTGCATATATGAATACGTGTGCGCACGCACACACACACACACACACACACACACACACACACACACACACACAGACACACACACACACACACACACACATACTTACGTACATACATTGTAGTGGCATTTGAGCTAGCAGATGCAAACGTACTGTTTGTGGGTCTTAAATCCAATTTCCAAGGACTATTTCCTGACCCTAGCCTAGTATCACCTGAACTCCTTGCTTTCTGAGAGGGATGAAGGCTGATCTATGATGACACATGTCAGCGTGGTAAAAGGATATCAACACAGGGTATTATGTACTAATGCCGAAACGCGTCATCTTGTGGTTTCTGGAGATCAGTTATAAGTAGTTGAAACATGGCTGTGTTGTAACAGGTTTTTTTACCATTCCGCTGTTGGTGTAGACAAACAAGGTAGTGACCTGGGTCATGTTTTAACTTTCGAGACATGCGAGTAACATCACTATGCATCAATGGGAATGCAAGTCACTGTCACGGATATGTAAGTAGGGGAACACACGCACAAGCACCACCGAGGGACATAGATACGTACATACAAACATTTGTATAGCGCCGATATCCGGTACAACTGCTCAAAGGCGCTTTGTTTTCCCTCGATCATTGGATGTCCATCACAACGGCATATCGTATTTTCAATCTCAACTCCCTGGGGATCATGCAGCTCATGTGGCTTTCCCATTCTTACGAGGTACCCATTCACAGCTGGGTGGGCTGGCACACATAGTCACAGTACTTTGTCCAAGTTCACTGCACGTTGCTGCATCCGCAACTAGGTGTTTGCACGTATTCATGTGGCCACCATCTGGTCATATACCAACGGATTCGTGGGTTCTTTTAAGTGCACATGGTTGTGTACTGTACACTAGGGGTTGTGACAACACTGAAAGAGTCTGCACACAAAGCTGACTCCAAGGTTTGTTACACCCGGTCACAGGTGGGCTCGATCCCGGCACCTCCCAGCTCGCTGGATTACTAGCCTGGCGCCTTAGACAGCTCGCCATCGCGCCCCCATCACTATACAGCACTGGGGACATACATGTACCATCACTATACAAAACTGAGAACATACATTTGACATCACTATACAACACTGGGAACACACATGTACCATCACTTTGCAACATTGGGGACATAAATGTAACATCACTATACAACACTGGAGACACACATGTACCATCACTATACAACACTGGGGACATACATGTACCATCACTATAGAACACTAGGGACATACATGTACCATCACTATACAACACTGGAGACACACATGTACCATCACTATACAACACTGGGGACATACATGTACCATCACTATAGAACACTAGGGACATACATGTACCATCACTATACAACACTGAGGACATACATGTTCCATCACTATACAACAATGAGGACATACATGTACTTTCACTATACAACGCTAGGAACATACATGTACCATCACTATGCAACACTGGGGACATGCATGTACTACCACTATACAAAACTGGGGACATACATGTACCATCACTAAACAACACTGGGAACACACATGTACCATCACTCTACAACATTGGGGACATACATGTAGCATCACTATACAACACTGAGGACATACATATACCATCACTTTACAACGTTAGGAAGATACATGTACCATCACTATACAACAGAGGGGAAATAAAGGTATGATCACTATACAACACTGGGGACATACATGTACCATCACTATGCAACACTGGGGACATACATGTACCATCACTATACAACACTGGAGACACACATGTACCATCACTATAAAACACTGGGGACATACATGTACCATCACTATACAACACTGGGGACATACATGTACCATCACTATACAACACTAGGGACATACATGTACCATCACTATACAACACTGGGGACATACATGTACCATCACTATAGAACACTAGGGACATACATGTACCATCACTATACAACACTGAGGGACATACATGTACCATCACTATACAACACTAAGGACATACATGTACCATCACTATACAACACTGAGGACACACATGTTCCATCACTATACAACAATGAGGACATACATGTACTTTCACTATACAACACTGGGGACATACATGTACCATCACTATAGAACACTAGGGACATACATGTTCCATCACTATACAACACTGAGGACATACATGTACTTTCACTATACAACGCTAGGACATACATGTACCATCACTATACAACACTGGGGACATACATGTACTTTCACTATACAACGCTAGGGACATACATGTACCATCACTAAACAACACTGGGGACATGCATGTACATACATGTAGCATCACTATACAACACTGGGGACATACATGTACCATCACTAAACAACACTGGGAACATGTACCATCACTATACACATAAAGGTATGATCACTACAACACTGGGGACATACATGTACATCACTATAACAACACTGGGGACATACATGTACCATCACTATACAACACTGGGGACATACACCATCACTATAAAACACTGGGGACATACATGTACCATCACTATACAACACTGAGGACACGTGAGGACATACATGTAGCATCACTATACAAACACTAAGGGATATATGTACAACACTACATACATCACTATACAACACTGAGGACAGGACATGTACTATACAACACTGAGGGACACACACTGGGACATACATGTACCATCACTATACAACAATGGGACATACATGTACCATCACTATACAACACTGGGGACATACATGTACCATCACTATAGAACACTAGGGACATACATGTTCCATCACTATACAACACTGAGGACATACATGTACCATCACTATACAACGCTAGGACATACATGTATCACACTATGCAACACTGGGGACATACATGTACATACATGTACCATCACTCACACATGTACCATCACTCTACAACATTGGGGACATACATGTAGCATCACTATACATCACTTTACAACGTTAGGAAGGGGCACTTATACAACATGTAAAGGTATACGATCACTATACAACACTGGGGACATACATGTACCATCACTATGCAACACTGGGGACATGCATGTACTATCACTATACAAAACTGGGGACATACATGTACCATCACTAAACAACACTGGGAACACACATGTACCATCACTCTACAACATTGGGGACATGTAGCATCACCATCACATATACCATCACAACGCTAGGAACATACATGTACCATCACTACACAACGCTAGGGGACACATGTACCATCACTATACAACACTAGGGACATACATGTACCATCATCACTATACAACACTTGGGGCATAAATGTATCATGACTATACAACACTAGGGAGATACATGTACCATCACTATATAACACTGGGGGGGGATACATGTATCATCACTATACAACACAGGGGAAATAAAGGTACGATCACTATACAACACCGGGGGCATACATATGTCATCACTATACAACACAGGGGACATACATGTACCATCACCATACTACACTAGGGACATACAAGTACCATCACTATACAACACTGGGGACATACATGTACCCTCACTATACAACACAAGGGACATTCATGTATCATCACTATACAACACTGGGGGGATACATGTATCATCACTATACAACACTTGGGGCATACATGTACCATCACTATACAACACTGGAGGGATACATGTATCATCACTCTACAACACTAGGGACAAACATGTACCATCACTATACAACACTAGGTACATACATGTATCATCACTAAACAACACTGGGAACACACATGTACCATCACTCTACAACATTGGGGACATACATGTAGCATCACTATACAACACTGGGGACATACATATACCATCACTTTACAACGTTAGGAAGATACATGTACCATCACTATACAACAGAGGGGAAATAAAGGTACGATCACTATACAACACTGGGGACATACATGTACCATCACTATGCAACACTGGGGACATGCATGTACTATCACTATACAAAACTGGGGACATACATGTACCATCACTAAACAACACTGGGAACACACATGTACCATCACTCTACAACATTGGGGACATACATGTAGCATCACTATACAACACTGGGGACATACATATACCATCACTTTACAACGTTAGGAAGATACATGTACCATCACTACACAACGCTAGGAACATACATGTACCATCACAATGCAACACTTGGGGACATTCATGTACCATCACTATACAAAACTAGGGACATACATGTACTATCACTATACAACACTTGGGGCATAAATGTATCATGACTATACAACACTAGGGAGATACATGTACCATCACTATATAACACTGGGGGATACATGTATCATCACTATACAACAGAGGGGAAATAAAGGTACGATCACTATACAACACCGGGGGCATACATATGTCATCACTATACAACACAGGGGACATACATGTACCATCACCATACTACACTAGGGACATACAAGTACCATCACTATACAACACTGGGGACATACATGTACCCTCACTATACAACACAAGGGACATTCATGTATCATCACTATACAACACTGGGGGGATACATGTATCATCACTATACAACACTTGGGGCATACATGTACCATCACTATACAACACTGGAGGGATACATGTATCAT